CGCCCCGCCAAGCCACGCCCACCCCGCCAGGTGCCGCGCGGCCACGCCCCCCCCGCGCCCTCATTGGCCGCCCCGCCCGCCGGTTCGAAGCGGCGCTCGCTGATTGGTCGGTTGAGGGCCTCCCGCGCGGTTTGATTGGTTAAGGGGAAGGGCGGGGAGCGGCGGCCAATGGGAGAGCGCGCTGCAACTTCTGGCCAATGGCAGCGCGAAGGGGCGGGGCCTGGCGTTGCCGTGGAGACAGGGGCGGTTTCGGCCGGTAGGGGGCGCTGAGGGCCCGTGAGGGGCTCCCAGTTGGGACCAGTTGGGACCAGTTTGGGCCAATTGGGACCAGTTTGGGTCAGTTGGGACCAGTTTGGGCCAGTTGGGACCAGTTTGGGTCAGTTGGGACCACTGGGACCCCCAGGGACCCCCAGGGCTCCCAGTTCGGACCAGTTCAGACCAGTGACCCCCTCCAAGGACCCCCAGTTCAGACCAGTGACCTCCCAGGGCTCCCAGTTCAGACCAGTGACCCCCCAATGACCCCCCCAGTACAAACCAGTGACCTCCCAAGGCTCCCAGTTCGGACCAGTTGGGACCAGTTTGGACCAGTGACCCCCACCCAGGGACCCCCAGAGCTCCCAGTTTGGGCCAGTTCGGACCAGTTGGGACCAGTGGGACCCAGTTGGGACCAGTTTGGGCCAATTGGGACCAGTTTGGGTCAGTTGGGACCAGTTTGGGCCAGTTGGGACCAGTTTGGGTCAGTTGGGACCACTGGGACCCCCAGGGACCTCCAGGGACTGCCCAGAGCTCCCAGTTCAGACCAGTGACCCCCCCCAGTGACCCCCCCAGTACAAACCAGTGACCCCCAAGGATTTTGGGGTCCTTTAGGGGTTTTAGGGAGACTTCGGGATCTCTTTGGGGGAATTCCCAGCAATTTTGGGGTCCCTTTGGACCTCCAGGGACTGCCCAGAGCTCCCAGTTCAGACCAGTGGCCCCCCCAGTGATCCCCCCAGTACAACCCAGTGACCCCCAGGGCTCCCAGTTTGGGCCAGTTGGGACCAGTTTGGGCCAGCTGGGACCAGTGGGACCCCCCAGGGACCTCCATTGACTCCCAGTAACCACCCAGGGCTCCCAGTTCGGACCAGTGACCCCCCCCAAGGACCCCCAGTTCAGACCAGTGACCTCCCAGTGACCCCCAGGGCTCCCAGTTTGGACCAGTGGGACCCCCCAGGGACCCCCAGAGCTCCCAGTTCAGACCAGTGCCTGAGGGAATTTTAGGGTCCCTTTTAGGGTTTGTGGGGATTTTGGGGTCCTTTAGGGGTTTTAGGGAGACTTCGGGATCTCTTTGGGGGAATTCCCAGCAATTTTGGGGTCCCTTTGGGGTTTTAGGGCAGTTTTGGGGTCCCTTCGTGGATTTTGGGGTCCCTTTGGGGGTTTGAGGGGATTTTGGGGATCCTTTTTGGGGTTTCAGGGATCATTTTTGGAGGTTTTAGGGGATTTGGGGGATTCCTTTGGGGATTTTGGGGTCCATTTGGGGGATTTTAGAGGATTTTGGGATCCTTTTTGGGGGTTTTAGGGAATTTTGGGGTCCATTTGGGGGTTTTAGGGACCCTTTTTTGGGGTTTCAGGGGATTTTGGGGTCCCTTTTTTAGGGTTTTAGGGGATTTTGGGATCCCTTTGGGGGGTTTTATGGAAATTTGGGTCCCATTTTGGGGTTTTAGGGTCCATTTTTGGGGGTTTGAGGGGATTTTGGACAGTAACCACCCAGGGCTCCCAGTTCGGACCAGTGACCCCCCCCAAGGACCCCCAGTTCAGACCAGTGACCTCCCAGTGACCCCCAGGGCTCCCAGTTTGGACCAGTGGGACCCCCCAGGGACCCCCAGAGCTCCCAGTTCAGACCAGTGACCCCCCAGTGACCCCCCCAGTACAAACCAGTGACCTCCCAGTGACCACCCAAGGCTCCCAGTTTGAACCAGCACAGTTTGGATCACTCCCAGTTCAGACCAGTGACCCCCAGTTTGGACGAGTGACCCCCCAGTGCCCCCTCCCAGTACAAACCAGTGCCCCCAGTGTCAGGAATTTTGGGGTTCCCAGAGGCGAGCCAGGAAATTTTGGGGGATTTTTGGGGTGGATTCGGGGAAATTTGGGATTTTCAGGAAGGATTTGGGGGTCCCTGAGGGAACTTTAGGGTCCCTTTCAGGGTTTGTGGGGATTTTGGGGTCCTTTAGGGGTTTTAGGGCAGTTTTGGGGTCCCTTCGTGGATTTTGGGGTCCCTTTGGGGGTTTGAGGGGATTTTGGGGTCCATTTGGGGGATTTTAGGATCCTTTTTGGGGGTTTTAGGGGATTTTGGGGCCCATTTTGGGGTTTTAGGGTCCCTTTTTTAGGGTTTCAGGGGATTTTGGGGATCCCTTTTGGGGTTTCAGGGGATTTTGGGGATTACTTTGGGGATTTTGGGGTCCATTTGGGGGATTTTAGAGGATTTTGGGATCCTTTTGGGGGTTAAGGGGATTTTGGGATCCGTTTGGGGGGTTTTAGATCCGTTTTGGGGGTTTTAGGGAATTTTGGGGTCCATTTTGGGCTTTTGGGGTCCCTTTTTTGGGGTTTTAGGGGATTTTGGGATCTGTTTTGGGGGTTTTATGGAATTTTAGGGTCCATTTTGGGGTTTCAGGGTCTCTTTTTTGGGGTTTGAGGGGACTTTGGGGTCCATTTGGGGGATTTTAGAGGATTTTGGGATACGTTTTGGGGGTTTTAGAGAATTTTGGGGTCCATTTTGGGGTTTTGGGGTCCATTTTTTGGGGTTTGAGGGGATTTTGGGGATCATTTTTGGAGGTTTCAGGGGATTTTGGGGATTACTTTGGGGATTTTGGGGTCCATTTGGGGAATTTTAGAGGATTTTGGGATCCGTTTGGGGGGTTTTATGGAATTCTGGGGTCCATTTTGGGGTTTTAAGGTCCCTTTTTTGGGGTTTCAGGGGATTTTGGGATCCTTTTTGGGGGTTTTATGGAATTTTGGGTCCATTTTGGGCTTTTGGGGTCCCTTTGGGGTCGGGGTGGGCTCTGGGAAGAACCTGGAGGACCTAAAAAAAACCAAATCCCTATTTTTATTTCTTTTTCCTTCGTTTTTTTTTTTTTATCCCAAATCCCAGATCCCAGATCCCAATCCCAGATCCGGATCCCAATCCCAGATCCGGATCCCAATCCCAGATCCGGATCCCAATCCCAGATCCGGATCCCAAATCCCAGATCCAAAATCCCAAATCCCAAATCCCAGGTCCCAGATTCAGACCGTAAATCCCACATCCCAGATCCCACATCCCACATCCCAGATCCCCAAATCCCAGATCCCCAAATTCCCAGGTGTGCCCAGGTGTGCCCAGGTACTCACGGGGAGTAGGGGTGTGCGCGGGGGGCGATGGAGCGCTGGGCCCCCCCCGGGAGCACCTCCTGTGGTGACATCATCACGAAAAACTGCCCTGGAGCCCAGAGCCACAGGTGAGAGCCCAGCCCCACAGGTGAGAGCCCAGAGCCACAGGTGAGAGCCCAGCCCCACAGGTGAGAGCCCAACACCCACAGGGGAGAGCCCAAAACCCACAGGTGAGAGCCCAGCACCCACAGGGGAGAGCCCAAAACCCACAGGTGAGAGCCCAAAACCCACAGGTGAGAGCCCAGCCCCACAGGTGAGAGACCAACCCCACAGGTGAGAGCCCAACCCCACAGGTGAGATGCAAAAACCCATAGGTGAGACCCCAAATGCATCCACCCATGTGAGTCCCAACCCAACTCAGGTGACTCCAAACTGGCCCAGGTGAGCCCCAATTCAGTTCAGGTGACCCCAAACCCATCCAGGTGAGTCCCAACCCATCCCAGGTGCCCCCAAACCAGCCTAGGTGACCCCAAACCAACCCCAGACACCCCCAGAGCAGCCCAGGTGAGCCCAAACCCACCCCAGGTGCCCCCAAACTGGCCCAGGTGACCCCAAACCCAACCCAGGTGAGCCCAAACTGGGACAGGTGAATCCCAACCCAATCCAGGTGCCCCCAGACCCATCCAGGTGCCCCCAATCCCATCCAGGTGCCCCCCAAAGGGACAGGGACGGGGATGGGACAGGGATGGGGGACAAGGAACAGAGATGGGGGACAGGGGACAGGGATGGGGACAGGGATGGCAATGGGGACAGATAGAGGGGACAGCGAGAGGGGACAGCGATGGGGGACAGGGGACAGGGACAGGGGAACAGGTGAGGGACACAGGTGAGGGACAGATGAGACGGGGGAGCGGGTGAGGGACAGGGACAGGGACAGGGGAGGGACACAGGTGAGGGACAGATGAGATGGGGGAACGGGTGAGGGACAGGGACAGGGGAGGGACACAGGTGAGGAACACAGGTGAAGGACAGGTGAGGGACAGGTGAGATGGGGGAACAGGTGAGGGACAGGTGTGGGACAGATAGGACAGGTAGGACAGGTGGGACAGGTGAGAGAAACACACGTGGGACACAGGTGGGACAGGACACAGGTGTCACCCTACCCCACGACACACCTGGGCCATGGACTGGGTGGGGCACAGGTGAGGCCCAGGGCGTGGCAATGGGGTGTGGCAGTGGGCGTGGCCAGGTGACACACCTGTGTCATGGCCTGGGCAAGGCACAGGTGCCACAGTGGGTGTGGCAGTGGGCGTGGCACCACAACACACCTGTGTCATGGCCTGGGCAAGGCACAAGTGGGATGGGGATGGGGTGTGGCAGTGGGCGTGGCCAGGTGACACACCTGTGTCATGGCCTGGACAGGGGACAGGTGTCACAGGGGGGTGTGGCAGTGGGCGTGGCAGCACAACACACCTGTGTCATGGCCTGGGCAGGGGACAGGTGCCACAGTGGGTGTGGCAGTGGGCGTGGCACCACAACACACCTGTGCCACGGCCTGGGCAAGGCACAGGCGGGATGGGGACAGTGGGTGTGGCAGTGGGCGTGGCCAGGTGACGCACCTGTGTCATGGACTGTGTGGCCGGGTAGCCGCTGATGGCGCTGGTGCCCTCGGTCTGCGCGTCCAGCTGCCCGTCAGCCACCTGATCACCCGGTACATCACCTGGCACAGGTGGGACACAGGTGTGACACAGAGACCCCCAGAGCCACCCTGTGTCACCACCTGATCACCCGGTACATCACCTGGCACAGGTGGGACACAGGTGTGACAGTGACCCCAACCCCCCGTGTCACCACCTGGTCACCCGGTACATCACCTGGCACAGGTGACACACTCACACAGGTGTGACAGTGACCCCAACCCCCCGTGTCACCACCTGGTCACCCGGTACATCACCTGGCACAGGTGACACACTCACACAGGTGTGACAGTGACCCCAACCCCCCGTGTCACCACCTGGTCACCCGGTACATCACCTGGCACAGGTGGGACACAGGTGTGACAGTGACCCCAACCCCTTGTGTCACCACCTGGATCACCCAGTACATCACCTGGCACAGGTGGGACACCTCACACAGGTGTGACACAGAGACCTCTCCAGAGCCACCCCACAGTGTCCCCCAGGTGTCCCCAGGTGTGTCACAGCTGCTCTTGGTGTGCAACCAAAGCCCCCCCAATCCCCAGGTACCTCCCAGGTGTGCCCAGGTGTATCCCAGGTGTTCCCAGGTGTGCCCAGGGGTATCTCAGGTGCCTCCCCAGGTATATCCAAGCCCCCAAGGTGTATCCTGGTGTATCCAACATCCCCCAGGTGTATCCAGGTGTGCCCAGGTGTACTCCAGGTGTATCCCAGGTGTATCGAAGCCACCCGAGGTGTACTCCAGGTATATCCCAGGTGTCCCCAGGTGTGCCCAGGAATACTCCAGGTGTATCCCAGGTGTATTCAAGCCACCCCAGGTGTACTCCAGGTGTGCCCATGTACCCTCAGGTACCCCCATGTGTATCTCAGGTGTGCCCAGGTGCCCCCAGGTGTATCCCAGGTGTGCCCAGGTGTACTCCAGGTGTAACCAAGCCCCTCCAGGTGTACTCCAGGTGAATCCCAGGTGCCCCCAGGTGTGTCTCAGGTGCCCCCAGGTGTATCCCAGGTGTGCCCAGGTGCCCCCAAGCCCCCCCAGGTGCCCCCAGGTGTGCCAGGTCGGTACCTGCGTGCCGCCGCCCTCGGTCCTGAACACATACTTGACGCCGGGGTCGGGGAAGGTGGCGGCCGATTGGATGCTGGCGATGGCCACGCTCGTGGGGTCCTCGCCCGTGGCCACCGAGCCTGGGGGGACACGGCATTGGGGACACCCAGACTGGGGGGCACGGGACTGGGGACACCCAGACTGGGGGATATGGGATTGGGGACACCCAGACTGGGGGGTACAGCATTGGGGACACCCAGACTGGGGGGCACGGCATTGGGGACACCCAGACTGGGGGGCACGGGACTGGGGACACCCAGACTGGGGGAGAGGGGACTGGGGACACCCAGACTGGGGGCACGGCATTGGGGACACCCAGACTGGGGAGGGGGCACCAAACTGGGGGGACACGGGATTGGGGACACAGGACTGGGGGACACGGGATTGGGGACACCCAGACTGGGGGGGCACGGGACTGGGGAGGGGACACCCAGACTGGGGGGCACGGGACTGGGGACACCCAGACTGGGGGGACACCCAGACTGGGGGGCAAGGGACTGGGGACACCCAGACTGGGGACACCCAGACTGGGGAGGGGGCACCAAACTGGGGGGACACGGGACTGGGGACACCCAGACTGGGGGCATGGCATTGGGGACACCCAGACTGGGGGGACATGGCATTGGGGACACCCAGACTGGGGAGGGGGCACGGCACTGGGGACACGGCACTGGGGACACCCAGACTGGGGGACACGGGACTGGGGACACCCAGACTGGGGACACGGCACTGGGGACACCCAGACTGGGGAGGGGGCACCCAAAATGGGGAGGGGGCACAGGACTGGGGACACCCAGACTGGGGGACACGGCATTGGGGACACGGCATTGGGGACACCCAGACTGGGGGGGACACCCAGACTGGGGAGGGTGCACCCAAACTTGGGAGGGGGCACCCAAACTGCAAGGGGAAACCCTAAACTGGAGGAGGAACCCCAAACTGGGGAGGGGAAACCCCAAACTGGGGAGGAGGAACCCTAAATTGGGGAGGGGGCATCCAAACTGGGGAGGGGGCACCTAAACTGGGGAGCACACACCCTAAATTGGGGAGGGGGCACGGGATGAGGGGCACCCCAAACTGGGGTGGGGAGTGACATAGGATTGGGGGGGGCACAAAACCTCCCCAAATCCCCCCCAAAGACCCCAAAACCTCCCCAAATCCCCCCCAAAAAACTGCAAAAACCCCCTTGGGGGGGGCACAAAACCTCCCCAAATCCCCCCCAAAGACCCCAAAACCTCCCCAAATCCCCCCCAGACACCAATGTTGGGGTCCCCCCTCACCTTCCTGGATCTGCACCGTCCCCTCCTCGGTCTCAGCTGCTTTTTGCTGCCTGGGGGGGGGAACAAAACAGTGAGGGGGGGTCCCTGAGCCCCCAAAACACCCAAACCCCAAATCTGGGATCCCCCAAATCGCCCACCCCTCGTGTGTCCCACCCATGGGGCACTTCTGGGGGTCTTGGGGTCCCAGATCAGATTTGGGGGGAATCTTCAGGCAGTTTTTGGGGGGTCCCAGATGAGATCTGGAGATCCTGGGGCAGTCTGGGGGAGTCAAAGGTCAAAGTTTTGGGGTCCTGGGTCAGATTTGGGGGGTCCTGGAGCCATTTTGGGGGGGTCCCAGGTCATCTTGGGGGGTTCCCAGAGCAGGTTTTGGGGTCCCAGGTGGGTTTTGGGGTCCCAGAGCAGGTTTTGGGGTCCCAGGTGGGTTTTGGGGTCCCAGAGCAGGTTTTGGGGTCCCAGAGCAGGTTTTGGGGTCCCAGGTGGGTTTTGGGGTCCCACTCACCCCTTCATGGCTCGGCTCCCTCGGGCATCAGCGGGGCGGGAGCGGAGCAGCCTCACGGCCTTCAGAGCCCTGCGGGGACAGCGCGGTCAGGGACACGGGGACATGGGGACAGCGCGGTCAGGGACACGGGGACAGCAGGGACAGCAGGGACAGCAGGGACATGGGGACAGCGTGGTCAGGGACATGGGGACAGGGACAAGGGGACATGGGGACAGCGGGGACATGGGGACAGGGACATGGGGACAGTGGGGTCAGGGACACGGGGACATGGGGACAGCAGGGACATGGGGATATGGAGACAGCGCGGTCAGGGACATGGGGACACGGACACGGGGACAGTGGGGTCAGGGACACAGGGACAGGGACATGGGGACAGTGGGGATACAGTGACACGGGGACAGTGGGGTCAGGGACACGGGGACAGCAGGGACATGGGAACAGCAGGGACAGGGACACGGGGACACCGGCACAGCAGGGTCAGGGACATGGGGACAGCAGGGACAGGAGGGACACAGGGACATGAGGGACACAGGGACATGGGGACGGGGACATGGGGACAGCAGGGACATGGGGACAGCAGGGACAGGAGGGACACAGGGACATGAGGGACACAGGGACATGGGGACGGGGACATGGGGACAGCAGGGACATGGGGACAGCAGGGACAGGAGGGACACAGGGACATGAGGGACACAGGGACATGGGGACGGGGACATGGGGACAGCAGGGACATGGGGACAGCAGGGACAGGAGGGACACAGGGACATGAGGGACACAGGGACATGGGGACGGGGACATGGGGACAGCAGGGACATGGGGACAGCAGGGACAGGAGGGACACAGGGACATGAGGGACACAGGGACATGGGGACGGGGACATGGGGACAGCAGGGACATGGGGACAGCAGGGACAGGAGGGACACAGGGACATGAGGGACACAGGGACATGGGGACGGGGACATGGGGACAGCAGGGACATGGGGACAGCAGGGACAGGAGGGACACAGGGACATGAGGGACACAGGGACATGGGGACGGGGACATGGGGACAGCAGGGACATGGGGACAGCAGGGACAGGAGGGACACAGGGACATGAGGGACACAGGGACATGGGGACGGGGACATGGGGACAGCAGGGACATGGGGACAGCAGGGACAGGAGGGACACAGGGACATGAGGGACACAGGGACATGGGGACGGGGACATGGGGACAGCAGGGACATGGGGACAGCAGGGACAGGAGGGACACCCCCCTGCATGGCTCGGCTCCCTCGGGCATCAGCGGGGCGGGAGCGGAGCAGCCTCACGGCCTTCAGAGCCCTGCGGGGACAGCGCGGTCAGGGACACGGGGACATGGGGACAGCGCGGTCAGGGACACGGGGACAGCAGGGACAGCAGGGACAGCAGGGACATGGGGACAGCGTGGTCAGGGACATGGGGACAGGGACAAGGGGACATGGGGACAGCGGGGACATGGGGACAGGGACATGGGGACAGTGGGGTCAGGGACACGGGGACATGGGGACAGCGCGGGCAGGGACACGGGGACATGGGGACAGCAGGGACACGGGGACAGCGTGGTCAGGAACATGGGTACAGTGGGGTCAGGGACACGGGGACAGCAGGGACATGGGGACATGGGGACGACATGGGGACAGCGCGGTCAGGGACACGGGGACAATGGGGACAGGGACACGGGGACATGGGGACAGCAGGGACACGGGGACATGGGGACAGCAGGGACACGGGGACAGCGTGGTCAGGAACATGGGTACAGTGGGGTCAGGGACACGGGGACAGCAGGGACATGGGGACATGGGGACAGGGACATGGGGACAGTGGGGTCAGGGACATGGGGACATGGGGACAGCGTGGTCAGGGACACGGGGACAGGGACATGGGGACACGGACACGGGGACAGTGGGGTCAGGGACACAGGGACAGGGACATGGGGACAGTGGGGATACAGTGACACGGGGACAGTGGACAGTGGGGTCAGGGACACGGGAACACGGGAACACCGGCAGAGCAGGGTCAGGGACATGGGGACAGCAGGGACATGGGGACACAGGGACAGGAGGGTCAGGGACACGGGGACAGCAGGGACATGGGGACAGCAGGGACAGAGGGACACAGGGACAGGAGGGTCAGGGACACGGGGACAGCAGGGACACAGGGACATGGGGACAGAGACATAGGGACACAGGGACAGCGGGGTCAGGAACAGCAGGACACGGGGACTTTGGGACACAAGGGACATCGGGGCGAGGCACAGGAGGGTCAGGGATGTTGGGAGACAGGGACAGAGACCCAGGGATGGGGACAGGGACATGGGGACAGGACAGGGACATGGGGACAGGGTCAGGACAGGGAAAGGACAGGGACACGGGGATGGGGACAGGGGCAAGGGATGGGGACAGGGACACAGGGACAGGACAGGGACACAGGGATGGGACAAAGGACATGGGGTCACAGGGGGTCAGGGATGGGGACAGGAACTGGGACATGGGGACAGGAGCAGGATGGGACACTGGGATGGGACAGTGGCCATCCTGACCAGACACTGGCCACCACCATGGGACAGTGGTGACCACCATGGGACACTGGTGACCACCATGGGACAGTGGCCACTGTGACCAGCCACCAGTGAGGGCCACCACAGCTGACCAGAGGCCACCCCCTGTGGCCACAGCCACACGGCCAGGTGTCCCCTTGCTGCCCCCTTCCCCCCCAGAGTGTCCCCAGAGCCACCAGCCCCCCCGGGGTGGCACTGTGGGGTCACCGAGGCGGCTACAGCGTCCCCCGTGTCACCCCGAGCGGTGGCAGTGCCCCCTCCGTGTCACCCCGGGGGAGGGGCGCTGTCCCCTGTCACCTCCCCCGGGACGGGGAAATGGGGGGGACAGCGGGAGGTGACAAGCGGGGGGTCACGGATGAGGGGGTGACAGTGACAATGACACCCCGGGAGGGACAAGAACCAGGGGGGGGGGGTGACAGTGACAGGGAGGGACACAAGGGGGGGTGACAAAACGGGAGGGGGGTGAC